TTAAGGGCCAGATATTGCCCTCTGGAAGAACTACTTTTACAACTGTTTTCATAGACTTCATAGGGTGGGGGGAGGAAGCAACCTATTAAAACGTTATCCAGCAAAGATAATTATCTTTGGCTTACTTGAGGAAAACTTCAGAATTTCTAGGAAGGGAATTTAGAGATTTAACAAAAACCACAACCTTGTTCCCAGACCTGTGTGTTTTTATGGCAAAGTCTGTTTAGAAATAGGCTTGAGGAGGAAGAAAAAGGAAATCATGAGGTGCTCTAATCCCTTTCAGAAAATGGATGTTTTAAATTTTTATTGTTCAGGTCATCTGGCCTTCAAAAAACCTCCCCCAACCAAACCCATTATTTAGTCAATGCCACAAGACAGCCCCATGTGTGCAGAATAGGATTGTGCTCCACAGGGTTTTGTAGGCTGGGACCTTTTGTAAGCAGACCATCAGGCCTTTCTTCCCAGGCACCACTGGGTAGGTTCAAACTGCCAACCATCTGGTTAGTAGTTGAGTGCTTAACCATTTGTGCTACCTATCGGGCTTCCACTGTGAATGTACACTTGGGAGCTGACCTACACATATTGAGTATCAGCTTCAGCTAGGTTTAAGACCTGGAGCTTGGATAAGGTAGAAGTATGGAGCTTCAGTTCACACTTTTAGACTCTGGCTATCTGGGTTCATTGCGGGTCCACACACTAACTCTGTGACCATGGAACATTACTATTCGTCTTAGTACCCTAGCTTCTTAATATGCAATATGGAGATGCTATTAATGAAACCTACCTCTTTGAATTATTGTGAATCTTATATTAAATCATTCATTCAATAAGTATTTTTTTCAATACTTATTATGCTTCCAAAGGAGCTCTGGTGGTATAATGGTTATAGCATTTGATAGCTAACCTAATGGTCTGAGGTTCCAATCCGCCAGCAAACCTAGCAGCCAGTCTGCAGGAGAAAAGACCTTGAGATCTGAACCAGATTGTTATTGTTGTTGTTCTGTGCTGTTGAGTTGGTTCCAACTCATAGAGACCCTGTGTACAACAGAACAAAGCACTGTTCAGTCCTGTGCCATCCTAACAATTGTTGCTGTAGCCATTATGTTAGTCTATCTTGTTGAGGGTCCTCCTCTTTTTCTTTGACCCTCTATTTTAACAAGTATGATGGCTTCCATCAGGAACTCGTCCCTCGTCATAACATGTCCAAAGAACATGAGTCGAAGTCTTGCCATCCTTGCTTCTAAGGAACATTCTGGCTGTACTTCTTCCAAGACAGATTTTTTTCCATTCTGCTGGCAGTCCCTGTTATTATATTCAATATTCTTTGCCAATACCATAATTCAAAAGCATCAATTCTTCTGTCTTCCTTATTCATTGTCCAGCTTTCGCATGCATACAAGATGATTGGAAATACCATGGCTTGGGTCAGGCATCCCTTAGTCCTTACGGTGACATCTTTGCTTTTAAATACTTTAAAGAGGTGAAGATTATAGCCTAGAAAACCATATGGGGCATTTCTACTGGTCATATAGGGTTGCTGTGGTGGAACAGTGGTCTAGCACTCAGCTGCTAACCAAAAAGTTGGTGGTTTGAACCTACCAATTGCTCCATGGAAGAAAGGTATAGCAATCAGCTTCCCTAAAGATTTACAGCCTTGGAAACCCTATGGGACAGTTCTACTCTGTCCTAGAGGGTCACTAGGAGGTGGAATTTATTTTTATAGATTGAAATTGACTTGATGGTGCACACATTATGCCCTAGTGAACAAATGCGACATAAATCTCTAGCCTTATGGAGTTGAACTTCTAGTGTTTTTATAATACCTGGCACATTAAAAAAAAAAAAAAAAAAGCCTCACTGCCATCGAGTTGATTCCAACTCATAGCGACCCCCTTTGGGTTTCCGAAGTGGTAAGTGGCTGGCTGGTGGGTTTCAACCACCAACCTTCTGGTTAGCAGTCAGATACCTTAGGCACTGTGCTAGCAGAGCACCAAGTGATATTATGATACTCATTTTCTCATTTGATGCAAGAAAGAGCCATCCTCCTCTCTTTTTACAGATGAAGAAACTTGAGGCTCAAAGAAATTGTGTCTTGCTTGAACAGGCAAAACCAGAGCTAGTAACTCTTTACATAGTATTCACTATGTAAAGAGAGGCATTTTGTGTTAGATTGGAACTAGAGAATCGGCTGCTGTAGGCTATAGAGAGTCTGAGAAAATTAGAGTTTATTTTTTCCAAGGATAAATGATGTAGTTTCCTGTTGAACTTTGCTGTGAGACTGTACTTGAATTTTTTAAATATTTTCTTTCCAGGATGGGTGGGAGCAACTTGTCATTCTAATCCAACCCTGGAAATAAGCCAGCATGTTTGAATAATATGTGCTTAGGGGAAGTGCCTGCATTCCCAATCAGGGCTCCATTAAGGAGCTGTCCTTTTCACTTCTGTGCCCTAAGCAAGGAATGGACTGCCTTCTCAGAGAGCACAAACAACAAACATCTGTTTATATCACATCACAGCTTGGGGCTTTGTAAAATGTAAATGGAGATTTCACAATCAAAACTCAGTGAAATGGATCAATTGAAGCCAGCTAAAATTGGGAGTGAGGGTTGGGGAGCAATTTCCTCTGTGGTTTTTTTGTTCCCTATGGTGGCTCAAGAGGACAAAAAATAATATTTCATGTTATAATGAAATATGCAAAGACCTGGAGTTAGAAAACCAAAAGGGAAGAACATATTTGGTATTTCTCAAGCTGAAAGAACTGAAGAAAATGTTCAAACCACAAGTGAAATACTGAAGGATTCTATGGGCAAAATATTGAATGATGCAGGAAGTATCAAAAGTAGATGGAAGGAATACCCAGAGTTAGTGTACCAAAAAGAATTGGTCAACTTTCAATCATTTCAAGAGGTAGCATATAATCAAAAACCAATGGTATTTAAGAAGTCCAATCTGCACTGAAGGCTTTGGAGAAAAACAAGCCTTTAGGATTTGATAGAATACTAATTGAAATGTTTCAATGGATGCAGTGCTGGAACTGCTCACTCATCTATACCAAGAAATCTGGAAGACAGCCATTTGGCCAACTGACTGGAAGAGATCCATATTGTACCCATTCCAAAGAAAAGTGATTCCAATTGATTGGGGAAATTATCGAACAATGTAATTAAAATCACACACAAGTAAAATTTTTCTGAAGATAATACAAAAAGGGTTGCAGCAGTCCATCCAAAGGGAACTGCCAGAAATTCAAAGATTCATAAGAGGATGTGGATTGAGGGACATTATTGCTGATGGTAGGTATGTCTTGGGAGAAAGCAGAGAATACCAGACAGATGTTTACCTATGTTTTATTGAGATCCAATTGTGTGGATCACAATGAATTATGGTTAACATTGCAAAGAAGGGGAATTCCAGAACACTTAATTGTGCTTATGCAGAACTTGTCCATAAACCAAGAGACAGTTGTTTGAATAGAACAATTTGATACTACATGGTTTAAAATCAGGAAAAATGTGTGTCTGGGTTGTGTCCCTTCACCATACTTATTTGATCTGTAGGCTGAGCAGATAATCTGTAAAACTGGACTATATGAAGAAGAAGGTGGCATCAAGATTAGAGGAATACTTATTAGCAACTTGTAATATGGAGATGGCACGATCTTGCATGCTGAAAGTGAAGATGACTTGAAGCATTTAGTGATGAAGGCCAAAGACTATAGCCTTCAATATGGATTATATCTTAACATAAAGAAAACAAAAATCCTCACAACTAGACCAATAAGCAACATTATGATAAACAGTGAAAAGACTGAAGTTCTGAAAGATTTAATTTTAATTGGATCGACAATCAACATCCATAGAAGTAGCAGTCTAGCGATCAAATGATGTATTGCATTGGACAAATCTCTCTCACAGACTTCTTTAAAGTCTTAAAAGCAAAAATGTCACTTTGATTCTAAAGTGTGCCTGATGCAAGCTATGCTATTTTCTGTCATCTTCTACACATGTGAAAGCTGGACAGTGATTAAGGAAGACCAAAGAAGAATTGCTGTGTTTGAATTATGGTGTTGGTGAAGAATATTGGATATACCATGGACTGCCAGAGAATGAACAAATCTGTCTTGAAAGAAATACCCGAATGTTCCTTAGAAACAAAGATGGCGAGACTTTGTCTTATATACTTTGGACATGTTATGAGGAGGGACCAGTTCCAGGAGAAGGACATCATACTGGGAAAAGTAGAGTGTTGGCATAAAAGAAGACCTTTAGTGAGATGGGTTGACACAGCGAATGCAATAATAAGCTCAAGTGTAGCAATGATTGTGAGGATGGTACCGACCAGGCAGTGTTTTGTTCTGTTGTACACAGAGCTGCTATAAGTTGGAATCAACTCAATGGTACCTAACAAAAACAACATTGTAGCAGTTTGCCTTTGTTAAAAAGAAATCAGTAATCAACGTGGTTCTACTAGATTTTAAATAAGTTGAAAATTGGCCTTCCAGGAATGTTATTTGTAAGCACTTTAAAGGCAGAGATTTTTCTCTTCTTCTTCTTCATTTGTGAAACCTCACGAATCTAGCACAGTCCCTTGTATGTGGTCTATAACTAGTATAAGCAGTTTCCTTTGAGTTGATTCTGACTCTTGGTGTCCCCACGTGTGTAAGAGTAGAGAACTGTGCTCTATAGGGCTTCCAATGGCTGATTTTTCAGAAGTAGATTGCCAGGCCTTTCTTCTGAGGCATTTTTTGGGGAGGTTTGAGCCACCAACCTTTTGGGTGGTAACCAAGTGCTATACCAAGAAGTTTGGAAGACAGCCACTTGTTTGTGCCACCCCAGGACTCCTTTTATATGTGGTAGGTGTTCAATAAATGTAGTAAACAGTGAGACACATGTTGACTTCTGTTTTCTCGATTAAAGTAATGGTTGGACTGAAATTACTGTGTTCTGAATCACAGATTGATTCCCTTTAATATATATATTTTTTCTTTTAATAGGTTCGTGTGATCTCAACCCAAGGCAAAGGTGGGATATCATGGCATCCGTCTGGGTAAGTAAAAATCAACCTTTCATAACACTGTAACTTATCTGAGTCAAGTCAAAATACAGAAAAATCAAAATATCAAGGGGATTTTTTGACAGGTGGTAAAACGTTCATCTGAAAAAATTAATAGTGCAAAAAAGCTACAGAATGTCTGAAAATATGAAAATAGAGTATAAAGCTAAATAAGTACAATAATTTTCAGTGACATCAAAGCAGGGAGATCAAGAACAATAAATTTAGTATATTTAGGAATTTATTATATGGTAAAGATGACATTCATATCAGAGAGGAAAAGGTAGTTTATTCAATAAACAATGTTAGGAAAGCTTCTAGCCATTTAGGAAAAAAAGTAAGTCTGTCTTTTTCCTCCCTTTTCCTTAATTAAGGAAATTTTAGGTGAATAAAATACAGAAATGAGAAGAAACGTGGGTGAATTTTAAAAGCTAATCTTGGATGCAGAAGACACTTAAAATCATGACACAAAACCAAAAGGCTAAGAGAAAAATATCGATCTATTTTTATTTAACTATATATAAATTTATAACTTGTGACAGCCAACCATATTATTAGTAGAGTCAGTAGACAACCCCCAGGGAGAAAGATTTACCAGCACATCAGATAAAAGACTTACTCCTTTAGTATATAAATAACTCAAACAAATCAATAAGGAAAATGAACTCGATGGAGAAATCTGTAAAGACATGAATAGGACATGAAAAAAATGATAAACGCCCGATAAACATTGGGAAAGAGGCTACACCACACTGAGAATTAAAGAAAAATTAGCAATACAACAAGAAACCATTTTCTACCTGAGAAATTGGCAAAGGTGAAAAAAAAATGTATTAAGACCAATGTTATAGATGATCTGAGGAACACAGACACTAGTATTCTGTTCATGAGAAAGTAAATTTTTATTTGTTACTTGGGTGAAAGTTTACAGAAAAAATTCATTTTCCATTCAACAGTTCATATACATTTTTTTTCATGACATTGATTGCAATCTCCAAAATATAGCAGCTTTCTTCCAACTTCCTCCCTGTGGTTACCTTTTCCCTGTGTCCTTTTTGCCTGTGCATTCTTGCCCTTTGAGCTCCCTGTGCAAATGCTGCCCTTCTGATCTCCCATGATTGATTGTTCTAAGGAGTGTACCTACCTGGTGTAAACATTCACCTTATATGCTTATTATTTGGCTGGAAGCCACAGGATTGAGTTCAATTCCAGATCCAAAGGGTGACTAGGGGCCATGGTCTCAGGATTTACCAGTCTCTATTGCCCTAGTAAGCCTGGGGTTTTTTTTTATGATTTTGAGTTTTGATCCACATTTTGATCCACTTTTGGGTGTCATTTTCACAATAATCTATTAGTGTTTAAATGCATATGCTGTTTAGCCCAGTAATTCCACTTTGCCATATGTATCATACAGACATTTTTGCCTAAAATTGACAAAACACAGGCTTAAGGGCAACCATTTGCATCACTGAAAATATGCAGACAACATAATGGACATCTTTAGGATATAAAATTAGTAAGCTATACAATGGGATTGTGTGTGATCATTAAAAACACTGGGAAAAAATGGGTCAGCTTTGTATGTACTGACATTTCTCTGCTTTCAAGGGCTCCTATGATTAGATTAGGCCCATCTCGATAATCTGGGATAATCTCTTATTTTAGACCTCTAAAGTCTCTTCTTATGTAACTCACAGGTTCCAAAGATTGTTGTGGTTACTAGCCATTGAGTTGGCTTCCATCTCATGGTGACTCCATGTGCAGTGGAAAACAATGCTGCCAGTCCTGCCATGTCCGTGATTGGTTGCAGATCAGATTGTTGCAATCCAAAGGATCTTCACTGGTTGATTTTCATAAATAGATGGCCAAGCCTTTCTTCTTAGCTTGTCTTAGTCTGGAAGCTCTCTGAAAGTTGTTCAGCATCATAGCAACACAAAAGCCTCCACTGACAGACAGATGGTGGCTACACAGACACATGGGGAATCAAATGTAGGTTGCTTCATGGGAGGCAAAATTTTCTACCATTGAACCTCCACTGCTACCTTTTCAAAGCTTAGTGGTGCATAGCTTTGCCTACTACAGATGGTAGCATTCAGAATAGGATGGAAGAAAGGAAAGGAGGGGAACAGACCAAAAAGGGAGATGTGCTGAACCAAGAGGACAAGCCTTCACTGAAAAAAGGCCTGGGCCAGTGGAGGGCCATTGGTTGTCATTTTGTTGTAGTTGTTGTCATTTTCCATCGAGTTGATTCTAATTTATGATGACCCATGTGTACGGAGTAGAACTGCTTCATAGGCTTTTCAAATCTGTGACCTCTGGGAGGCAGATCACCCACACCTGTCTTCTGAGGAACCTCTGGGTGGGTTTGAAATGCCACTTTTCAACTACTAGTTGAGTGCGTTTTCTTTTTCACCCACCTTTCACAAGTTAACAGTTATCTATGAGATCTCTGCCAGGAAGGATTATTATTATTTGTTGCTGTCAAGTCGATTCTGACTCATGGCGATGGTGTGTGCAAAGTAGAACTGCTTCATAGGGTTTTCAAGACTGTGATCTTTGGGAGGCAGACTACCAGGCGGCCTGTCTTGTGACACACCTCTAGGTGGGTTTGAATTGCCAACCTTTAAGCTGGAGGTCAACCATACATAGTTGACATATGTGCACCCAGGAACTCAGATTTCCACATGCAAACATCCTCTTTTTAAAAATTTTTATTTTATTGTGGTAAAATATACATAAAATAAAATTTGCCACTTTAACAATTTTTAAGCGTATAGTTAGTTCAGTGGCATCCAATTGCAAACATTCTTATCACAAAGTTTTATCTTTTATACACACAAGTACATACACACTCAAATGCAAATGAGCAATCAAGTTGGCTCTTTTCTACAGTTATCAGTAGTTACCAATAGATGGTCACTTTATCAGAATGCTTTGATCAAGGGAGAAGACCTCATTTGCAGCTTCAGTATATTAACCTTGAAGATTAAAGAATGGCTGGTGTCTTGGGTCTTTTGTATTGTTTGTTCCAATCCTACACACCCCTTCCTCCCATTGCTTTAGAATATAATAGAATAATGGCTGCTTTTGCTATTTGTTTGAACTGTTAAATTAATATCTTCATTTTGCTACTAAATTTTTTCTGAATTAACTCCTAACCATTATAATTATCATGAACTGTTGTTAACATCTGTGGTAGTTAAGGTATGTGTCAACTTGGTTGGGTTATATGTCAATCTATGTTGCATAGTGTTTCCTTTCTTTGGAAATTTGATCTATTTCTGTGCAGATTTACATTCTGCTATTTCACCCTGATGCAACGTCCTGATATATTATTTGTTTACTAACAACAGCAACAATTTTTTGGACCCTGAGTTTCTTGTCATTTGTTGCCCTTAGGTCTATAGCAAGTACTCAGGCAGTCCACAGATTAGAATGTTTTGAAACAAGAGTTTTTATTAAGATATCACAGCCATATTTTTCCTATGTGTGTCTTCCACAGTGCTGGCTTTCTTATGCAAATTTCTAAATTTTTTTCTCATTGGTCAGTTCCTAATTTACTATTTAAAAAAAAAAAAAAATGCCATGGAGTTGATTCAGGCTCCTGGTGACCCTATGTATTTCAGAGTAGAACCACCCTCTGTAGAGTTTTCATGGCTGTGACCTTTTGGGAATAGATTGCCAGGCCTTTCTTCCAAGGCACCTCTAGGTTGGTCAAATTGCCAATCTTTCAGATAGTAGTCCAGCACATAACCATTCGTACAACCTGTTGTTGTTGTTGTTGTTATGTGCCGTTGAGTTGGCACCAACTCATAGCGATCCCTCCTTGGGTTTCCGAGGCGGTATCATTACGTAAGTAGATTGCCCAACCTTCCCTCTGAGGAGTGGCTGGTGGGTTTGAACCATCAGCCTTCTGGTTAGCAGTCAAGTGCCTTAGGCACTATGCTACCATACTACCTAGGGACACTTTAACTTAATAAATATTACAGAATAATGGCTGCTTTTGCTATTTGTTTGAACTCTTACATTAATATTTTCATTTTGGTTCTAAAATTTTCTGAATTAATTCCTAACCATTATAGTCATCATGAACTATTGTTAACATCTGTGGCAGTTAAAGTTATCTGTCAACTTGGCTGGGCCTGGTGTTGAATGGCTGGGCAGCTGGTTATAGTTATTCCCCATAATGAGACTAGCAATCAGCTGCATGGTGGAATCTGCCATGAGCAGCTGAGTAGCTGCTTTATGGTTATGGTCTGCTTCCCATATATAAGGAAAAGTTTGGAGAATGGTTTTGGCATGCTTGGTCCCTGCATGCAGCTGAGTCTTCACTTAACAGCCTGCCATGCTTCCTGCTGATCTTGGGACTGTCTCTGAACTTGAATTAGTGGCTTGCCATGTTGTTTGATAATATTGGAACTGTGCTACTTTTATTTGTCAGCCTCAGGCTTGTCAGCCTCAACAGTCAGCAGCTGCCTGATTGAAGAGCCACCTCTAGCTCCAGTGGGCCAGGAGCAAGAGGCAGAGCTGAAGCCCAGGGTTGAGGGGCTTTCACTCAGCCCTTAGAGCCTGGCACTTTGAACTTAGGCTTCTAGCCTCCCAAACTGTAAGAGAATAAGCTCCTGTTTGTTAAAGCCATCCCATTTGTGGTATTTCTGTTAGAGTGGCACTAGGTAACCAACACAACATCCTAACTTGCTATACATTCTCCTTTCCCTACTCCAAACTTGGATTTGCAAAATGAGGAAGGAGAAAACATAGAGCTGCTCAATAACCAAGGGCAAAAAGAAGTTGACAAAAATATAAAAAACTTCATATAACTATGATTCCTACTAACCTGGTCTTAAAGGATCCCAGGTGGGACACTGGTTAAATGCTTGGCTACTAACAAAAAAGTTGGTGGTTCAAGTCCATCCAGTGTCTCAGAGGGAGAAAGGCTGGTGATCTGCTTCCATAAAGATTACATCCAAGAAAACCTTATAGGGCAGTTCTAC